TGTTCCGGATCTTTTACTTGTTGAACTCTTCCCCTTTGTGCATGTGCTTTTCATTAGTCTAGTCTCCCATTGTCAAGTTCATGTTCCGGATCTTTTACTTGTTGAACTCTTCTCCTTTGTGCATGTGCTTTTCATTAGTCAAGCCTCCTATTGTCAAGTTCATGTTCCGGATCTTTTACTTGTTGAACTCTTCTCCTTTATGCATGTGCTTCCTCTAGTCTAGTCTCCCATTGTCAAGTTCTTGTTCCGGATCTTTTACTTGTTGAACTCTTTTCCTTTGTGCATGTGTTTTTCATTAGTCTAGTCTCCCATTGTCAAGTTCATGTTCTAGATCTTTACCTTGTTGATCTCTACCCATTGCGCATATGCTTTCCATTTAGTCTAGTTTCTCATTGACATGTTATTTCAAATTATACTTATTCAATCTTTTACTATGGGACGGGTGATCGACGCTTGATTGCTATTATGGGGAGTTGAATTGATTAGGGGTTCTTCTTGTCTTCTCTCTCTCTCTCTCTCTCTCTCTCTCTCTCTCTCTCTCTCTCTCTCTCTCTTTCTCATTCCCTCACTTGGTATATGACTAACCCTTCTCCCCTCACTTGGAAACATTGCCAGGGTACGGACGGTGACCGAAATCATACCTCACTTGGTGGAGAAAGAGGGCAAGGGGGGGATAGCCGGTCCCTTGTGCCACGAAGAAGGCAAAAGAAAGGACGTTTGAAAAAGTGGGAGAAAGGCGGGATCCGGAAGGAATCATAAGTTGAGAGAGAGGTCAGTTTGACTCAACCATTTCTCGGACTGCATGACTATGAGAAGAGGATGGGCTGATTGGACAACAAGAAGGGAACAAAGCGCAACAAAAGGGTATGGAAAAAATAGGCATGTGAGAAGGGCTATGTGTTGACCCCCAACGGGGAACATTGTATGGATCTTCTTGCTTGTGTGGGATTGTGCAGGTGAGTATTGGCTAGAAATGCCTTGAGCAGGATAAGGGCGAAAGGAACTGGGCACCAAGAGGGAAAGGGAAGAGGGACAAATGGGCTATGGGACCCTTGACATAGGACCAACTCATGAAAATGATTTTTGCACTTGAGACTCGGAAGTGTGATTGAGAGTGCAATCGTACCAATGGAAATGTAATGATGTGTGTGCATGGATATGAGGACCCCGAAAAGACTAAGGGGGTGTAATTCAATAAGGTGGGAAGCAAATTGTGAGATCCGATGGATGCGTAGAGGCAAGAGAGAGAACGGCTCCGCCGCATCCTGATGACGCCATATAGCCAAATGCTTAGGGAAATGGTGCGTGGCCTAAGGATGACGCTTAGCCTACGCACAAGAGAAGAGAATTGCTCAAGGAACCCCTGGACTGCCTGCGTATTGGAAGGAGCAATTGCATGACAACACAACAAAGAATCGAAAAAAAATCAGCGTTGCGGACGACCAGTGAGACTACGACCCGGCGTGAGGGCTGACCTACATCCCCAATGTCAAAGCTCTCTCGCGCGATGGCCCACCCCCATCCATCTCAAAGCACTAGGTGGGGGTGACCTCGAGACGAACAACCCGCGCCCGGAGCATGAGCGTGGGCGGGCCGAGCCAACTGGGACCCGCAGCGGGGTCGACTAAGGCTCGAAAGTCTACCGGTGTTTGACCCTACAACGTCCATGGAGATACTCTGCCCTGGGCCAGCAGGAGTGGGTAAAGGCTTGAGTAACCCAAGCGGAGCTTGAGTCCGCGGCTTGTCCCGCTGACAGACCTGACAGGTCTCCACGTACTTCTTTACATCGTCAAGCATGTTGGGCCACCAGAATCGCTGTACTAAATTGGCTCTCGTCTTCTTATAGCCGAAGTGTCCCATTGCGTCGTGGCACTCACCTAAAAATAAACTATGCAAAGTTTCTCTAGATGGAACAACTAACCTCTTGAACCCTGCCTTCTCACGAAAGAGCAACCCATCCACCATCACAAACTCATCAGTGGTGGCCTTCTCTTTAGCCTGTAGTTTGTTGATGATGTCCATCGTAATGGGATCTTCCTTGTAGGCTTCATCCAACAATCGAGTCACGTCCTCAGACAAACCAAACTCAGAAATCAGTGCACCTAGGTAATCTGCCCTCCTAGACAACACATCTGCAACCTTGTTGTACTCTCCCTTCAAATAGTATAGTTTGAAATCATATTGATCTATGACTTCAATCCAGCGTTTGAGTGCATCGGAGAGAACTGGTTGAGTCTTGATCCACTTGAGTGTCTGATGGTTAGTTCTTAAGTAAAAGAACCTTCCTAACAGGTAATGCCTTCAGTGGATAAGTGCCTTGTAAAGAGCGTAGAGTTCCCTCGCATAGGTGGACTTTGCCAACTTCTTTGAAAGCATTTTTTTGCTCATGTACTCGATCGATCTCAACTTCTTCCCTTCCTGCTGAGCCAGCACTGCGCCAATCCCATATTGGCTTGCGTCAGTGGTTACAACGAATGGCCTTTGCGGGTCGGGTACCATGAGAACCTCATGATGCGTGAGAGCATGCTTTAAACGCTTGAAAGCTGCCTCACACTCGTCGGTCCAGTCGCATGATGTATCGAGTCGAGCTAGATCAGTCAAGGGAGATGTAATCGTGCTATAATTCTTTACGAAATTGCGGTAATAACCACACATTTCCAAGAATGATCTGACCTCAGTCACAGACTGGGGTCGTGGCCAGTCACGAATGCTTGCCACCTTCGCATCTTCGGGCCTAATCCCATTTGCGGATACCTCATGACCCAAGTACAAGATTCGAGTGCGACCAAACTCGCATTTCTCAGAGTTTATCTTATACTTGTGCTGCCAAAGGAGTGAAAGTACTTTGTCTACATGCTGAGCATGCTCCTCGACAGATCTACTAAAGATAAGTATGTCGTGGAGGTACACGACAACAAACTTGTCTAAGTAGTCATGGAAGATCCTACTCATGGCGTGCTGAAATGTACCCGGCGCATTGCAAAGGCCAAAAGGCATCACCACAAACTCGTACAGACCGTACCTGGTCTGAAATGCGGTTTTGTGCTGATCCTCTGGTCTTATGGCAGTCTGATGGTAGCCGGATTTCAAGTCTATCTTTGTATAGTACTTACACCCCTGCACCCTATCCAATAGGTCGTCGATGCGTGGTAGAGGCTCTTCGTTCTTAACGATGATTGCATTGAGGCCTCTATAATCAATGCACATCCTTAGTGTTCCCCCTTTCTTTGGAACAAACAATACTGGTGAGCCATAGGGGAAAGTGCTAGGTCGGATCCAACCCTTCTCTGTGAGCTCTTTCAGTTGCCGCCGAAGTTCGTCCAACTCGGCTGGAGCCATCCTATAGATTCTACCCTTGGGTGTTTTACTTCCTGGGATAATCTCTATGGCATGGACAATCTCCCTGTCTACGACTCCTTTAGGCTCCTCGAACAGATCTGGGTACTTAGCGACGATGGTCTCTATCCATGGGGGTGTTTTAACGGCCTCCCCTTTTGCAGAGACATAGATTAAGTACATTCCTTCCTCTTGGTTCTGTTTATAATAATTATAAAAGGCAGATGCGCATAAGCACCCATAGGAGTCTACTAACCTACTGGATTTGTACTTGGTCAGTCTCACGGTTCTCCCACTAGGCAACTCATGCTTCAACACCTTCTTATCCCAGTCAAACTGGGGCTTGGCAACCTCGAGGTAGTACATGCCCAATAACATGTCAAAGGGCAACTCGTCGCTCACCAGGAATGATATCTTGTGGTTTATCTCTCCTCCTAGGTAGGAGAAGGTGCAGACTACATCTTTAACGTAGTCCTCCACCATCATGCGCTCTTCGTAGGCACAGTCTGTCAACGCAGTCGCGACTTATGAAGTTTCGTGTGGAGCCAATGTCTACGAAGGCGCCGCACTTGCGACCACCCACATCAACTTCCACAACGAAGTGCTCCCCTCTAGGACCTTTACTCAGTGCCACCCAAGACTCGCGAGGGTCCCTTGTCGACGACTCACCTTGAAGGTCCTCTAAGGTCTCAGACACATCCAACATACAGAGTATAGTTGGGTCCGGATGCGTCTGCAGGGTGACTTAGGAGTCAATAGCTTTGGCCATCTCTTGAAACGGGGAGGGTACATCACTCGCTTCAACGAGAGTAGAAGCAGCTATAACTTCTACTGGCCCTAAGCGTTTCCCGAGCTGGAGCTCGTAGAGGCCCCAAATTGAGAAGAAGAGAACCCACCTTTAGGAGGGATCTTCTATGAGACTTTCGGGTTCTTGCATTTGAACTGTGTGTGATCATACTCACCTCAGTTAATACAAGCACCTCGAGACCAACGGTCCCGCCACACTTCTTGATCCAGACCTGCTCTAACCCAAGCATCTATTTTGTTTGGGTTAGCGGTCTGCCCCTGACTCCTTTGTTGACCGCCCTTGCCGTGGCCAGCTACCTTAGTCTTAACTACGGCGGTGAGGTTGCTACCCTCAGCACTCTCCTCGCCGTGAAACTCTGAAACTTCCACAAGATCGGAAACATCATCGATCTGGGTTTGATTTCCATCGAAATCAACCATCATCAATCAACTACCCTTCTTCTTCCACTCTTGTGGAGTCTTATTCTTTCTTCCATCCGTAGAAGGGGTTTGAGCTCCACCCAATGTAGCCTCTAAGTCTAGGGCCTTCTTGCTGAATGACTCAAAGGTGTGATACTCTCTGCGAGCCTCGCTGGCTAATAAATTCCTAATGTCTGTGGGAAGACATCTCAGGAACATGGTCAGCAGGACGTGTGGATTGTACTCCACTCCCGGGACGACGATCAGGCGCTCTACGGTTGTGGTGAGTTCCCGCACAGACTTGTACTTTTTAGTATCAAGTTTCAAGATCCCATCAGTGGCAATATGTGCCTGCTAAGGGTTGTGCCAACGAGCCTCCACTAAGTCCATAAAGCTTTCTAATGTGTGGGTCTGCGCCCTATCATGCATATTCCTGCCGAAGCCCTTTGAAGCTACCAATCCGTTTAGCCAACGGGCTGCTGAACCCTCTAAGATGGATGCAGCAGTAATCATTTCCGCTTCTACCAATGTCCTTTTGGCCCTCACCCACACTGGCACCGTTCTCAACCATGTGTTGAGAGCCTCATTCTTCTTGTCTCCTAAGAAGGTTGAAGGTGGGTTCAGTGGGGTCTTGGGATACCAAGGATATTGTTGTCCCGCTTGCGAGACAGGTGGCGATTGTGGTGTAGCAACAGTTGCTGGACCAGAAGATGAAGAAGCAACAGTCTGAGATAGTGCTACTGTTGATGAAACACTTGGTGGTGGTCCTTACTGAGCGGCATAGAGGCATGTCATCGCTGAGAGTGGCAGCGATGGTAGAGCTGCTGGCCGGATCCCTGACTTATGTAGCGCTTGTAGGATCTGGTCTAGAGTATCCTGCATGGCGTCCATCTTGCTGTCTATGTACGCATGCATGGAGAGGGTGCTTGCCTTCAGGATCTTTCCTGTAGTGTTTAGGGCAGTGTCATCTAATGCCTCTAGCACAGCCATATCTGCCTCCCTACTCTCTAGTCTGACACTTCTCTCTTTGATCTCTTTCTCTCTCTTAGTAGCTTGTCTAAGTTCCTCCTCTAACCTTAAGCGGATCCTCTCTACTTGCTGGAGCTCCATCTGCTCCCTTGTGCGTGGAGGCAGCGAGCTGAACTGCGAGCCCGCCATTTGACTAGTGCCAACCCCTAACGTACTGGAGATTGACTGTGAACTGGTCGGCATGCCTAGCCCTTGACCAGTTGAGATCGCAGCAGTTGTTGCGGAAGTAGCATTACTTATTGCTACCGCTCTAGCGGCTGCTGCTTCTCTTGCAGCCTCAAGATTACGGGCCCTAACTTCAGCCCTTAATCTTCTCTCTTCTCCCGGTTGTAGGGTCTGGGACACTCTAGGGATTCTAAGGGATGATAACCTTGTTCACCTCCTGTCGTCATCTGCACCCTCACCACCCTCCGATCCACTCATAGGTTAGGCAGACGTTGTCTGCACTAATGTCCTCGGTGGAACCTACCGCAGCATGCGTCTGACCGGATCTAAAAATAAATAATTAAATAAATACCCGGCGAGTTACCTAGTCTACTAGTCAAGCGGCATCAACAGCATCTACACAAACTGTACACATAGTCTACCCCTTATTCTGATTGGTTTGCACAGAAGATTTGAGAAGAACTGACTATGGTAGATTACAGTCCTACTCTAGTCTGTCTGTTAGGTGTCAGCAGTCGGTCAACCAACTAATCAAAATAAAAACTTAGACAAGTGTGAGAAGATGTATGCACAATGGATATGTCAGTGATGTACAGTTGAGTTCACAATTGGAATCCCCTTCTCCTGTATCCAACGTACCTGTGAGCATCATCAAGCTGCATTGTCTAAGGTGTGCAACCATGGCCCACCCCTGTGCCCAAGAAGTATGCTTATGACCAGCCTGCCCCTTTGTTTATCCTCGCGTGCAACGAGCCTTACGTCTGACTGATCTGGCTGATCAGGAGGGATTTAAGGAGAGCCTCCATCTCCTCCTGAATTATTTAACGTCGCAATCCGGACGACGATCACAGCCAGTGGACAGATCAGACCCCAACCAGAAATGTTTATAGACGGTCTGGGAGCGTCTCAATAGGACTGGTCAGTCCGCACACCCCTTCTATCAGCGCAGCAAAGAGCCTCAATGGACAAAGCAGCCATCGCATGCGTGTACTAATCCCATTGGGTTGGCATGGTGACCGTGACCCATGTGCTTCGACCAGGGCTCTTCAGAGGCACCGCCCTCTCCTGCCAGATGCACCACTGGGAAGAATGTCGTCTCCTCAAGGTAGAGCGCTCACGACTCCTTACTCAAAAGAGGACACTCAAGTTGGACTCACTTCCTCACGGTAAGAAGAGATTGAGAGGGAAGATAAGGTAAGGGAACAAAGTACCTGGAGATAGCTGCCCCCAACCACAGATTTCTCACCAATTGAGCCGATGTGCATTTCGAGGACAGGTCATAGCCTCGGTACCCCCCACAACGCAATGCAGTGCCAGCTCAGCCAAAATGCCACATCAGCATGCTCTCATCATCAAACATACATCCGCTGTCACCACAGCTCCCACACTGTGCCAGCCTTCCGGCCAACTCCCCTCTACCTGGGAGTGGCTACTTATGCCAGCGCCGAGGTATCTTTATTGAGAAGAAGATTGTCAGCGCACCAATTAACAATGTCACCAGCGCCAGGTAATGGAGAACTCGAGCCAGCTCTGATACCAAATTGCAAGGAATATGAGCGAGAGCGATAGATAGAAAACCAAGTTGCAAAGTCACGCAGAAGTCAAGATAGTCATGTACCAAGCAGAGAGCATAAATGCACCAAGATTCCATCCACATAAGAGCGATACAGTAAACTCATGAGCCAATGTCCAAGCCCTCAGGCCACAGCAACGCAGTATCCAATGCCGCTCCTACTGTATGGCGCCCAGCGCCCTGCCTACTCTACTCAGCCTGTCGATCCTATCTACATTCGTGCAATAGGATCACTTTGCCGTCGAAGACCAATGTATATGACGTCAGCACCAATGCCGACCACCCATGTACACCAGGTACATTCTCTCTTCCCCACCCATGCGCCTCTTTCCTTGAAGACCACCGTCACCCATCACCTGCCCGTACCCCTGCAGCCCGGCTATGGCCGCTAAGCGCCCGAACTGCCCTGCAGTGCCCCGCTTCACCTCATAGGGCCCACATGTGCCCCAGCACTAACACAGATACGTGCTCAGCGTCGCAGCAGCGTGTTTGCACTGCCTGCTTTTGCCAGCCTACCTTCCCCTAGCCGGCCTCCTCCCTCTATGGGAGTAGCTGCCCTGCTGGGCTGCCTGGGCCTGGCCGAGGAAGTTTGCAGTAGCTTCCGGTCGGGCCCCAGTGTCTGCGCCCAGGCCTATTCCTACAGTTAAGGGCCTGGGCCCTCTTCGGTTGGGCACTTCCAAGATGCCTCCAGGCTCCAAGTGTTTGTTGTGTCCGCATTGGTGCACGGGGTCGGTGTGTCGACAATGCTGCATTCTCATTGGCCCGCGGCCACTTCGTGATGTGTCGGCCTGACACTGTGTGTGCCCAGGGCGCAACCACCTCTGTCCTGGGCTCAACTGCTTGACTCAGCTGCTGCTTCTGAAAAGATCCCAGGGAGAGGCCCAGGTTGCACTTCAACCAACTGGCGCGCAGCGACTGTTTGAAACTCACATGGGAAAAATCCTGAGATAAGGGCCTCTCGTGGATGTTGAAGCCCGCCTTCACTTAGGGTGGGCACGAGGCTTGCTGGGTGCCACAGTCCAGAACATGTGCATGTTGGCTAGGGCCCCATGAGGACACATTCCTCACATGAGGCTGCATCTCCTGAATTTAGTAGTTTGTCGAGTCAGTCGTTCTAAAGCGGTCTGTTTGTCAGTTTGTTGTCAGAAAATAAGTGGCCAGGTTTGGCCAAAGTCTGAATGCGAAAGACCGACCAGTCAGCGTTGAAGAGGTGTTTACAGTCAAGACGTTAGCCAGTCGTGTTGTAGATTAGACTGGTCACATAGCTTTTGTAATTTGTTTCGCTGAATTGCAGAAGTTGGAATCATTGACAAATTTGTTCTGCCCCTACTAATGTGTGTGCGGCGATTGTGGATGATTCCAGTTGGGATCTGATCTGAGATTTGTCATCATTGAATGTTTGATTTCTGATTAGTCACGGGTGTGTAAAAAGAAAACCGTTGTTTGGGTTTGATGCATACTCGCGGCGCATTAGTGCGCTGCGCCGTACGGAATGCGCGCGGGGACACCGCGCGCGCATGTGCGCTCGCACGCGCACGAGGTGCGCCGTGCGCGCAGCGCATGGGGACGCGCTACCCCTGCAAGGTGCGCACTGTGCGCCATGCCTCTT